ATCTATATGCCATCAAGAAATTAGGTCTTTAGAACATAAGCTCTCCATCTCCATATTGGCCAATTCAATATCAAACTATATTTTTCTTTCTATACTACAAGCTCCTGCTCATTTCTTTGGGACAGTGCTCACAGACAGGTGGACAAAAAAAACACAACCATTGGGGTTCTGGTAACACAAGAACTAAAGAAGGGTTGTGGGGGTTCATTCTTCCTCTCCACAATAGTGTTTGTATTAGCCCTGAGAAGCAATGAAGCAAGGCTTATTTCACAGATTTTTAGAAATCATCTTGATTTTATGGTCTAGAAGAATGCATCACTTCAGCCCCAGCTTCAAGGTAGTAAAACTTTGGCTCCTTCAGTAGCTACCACTGTGCTCACCGTTATGATTTCCAACTGATTTATTTTCAACAAACGTATGTTAACTCCTCCCTAACTAGATGAGAACACTGTGTGCGGAAAAAGACTCTAAACTTGGTGTTCAAACATCTGGGTTCTAGCTTTTATTCTGCCTCATGGAAGTGGTTGGGAATTAAAACTGTGCCACCCTGAAGCTGCTTTTTGGGATATTAAACTGTTCATTAAGAAACAAAAGACTGCCCAGCCAGTGTGGCTCAGTGGTTGGGCATCGACCCATGCACCAAGAGGTCACCAGTTCGATTTCTGGTCAGGGCACATGCCAGGGTTGTGGACCCTATCCCCAGTAGGGGGCATGCAGGAGGCAATCAATTGATGTTTTCTTTCATTGATGTCTCTCACTCTCCCTCTCCTTTCTTCTATTTCTAAAATCAATAAAGAAAAATTTTTTAAAAAGAAAGAAACAAGACTGAGAGAGAAACTTTGACACCCCTCACCCCTTTTCTTCCCCCATTTTCTGCCCAAGAGATTCAGACAAGGAAACCTGCTTCAGGAAGGAGATTTAAGGATGAATTAGGCCTTAACCCTAATTTGAATTAAGAATGGTAAACAGCCCTGGCTGGTTTGGCTCAGCGGTTGGAGCGTCGGCCTGTGGTACAGAGAGACCCGGGTTCAGTTCCCGCTAAGGGCATGTACCTCGGTTGCAGTTTGTCCCCGACCCTGGTTGGTCGTGCGGGTGGCAGCCACTCGATGTGTCCCTTCACATCGATGTTTCTCTCTCTCTCTTCCTCTCCCTCCCGCTCTATCTAAACAAAAAATGGAAAAATGTCCTCGGGTGAGGATAAAAAAAAAAAAGAATGGTAAACAACAGGGCTTCAGGCAGGTGCCTGTTAGCTAGATACCCTGAGTCCCATTGTTTCTGAGATGCTTAGCAAGAATTTGCCTGCCAGGTATATTCCTCTCTTCCTCACCTACCTGTAAATCAATCTAAATACTCCGTTCCCCTACTTTCGCCTTCATCCAAAACGTCCTATATAACCAAGGTTGCCTCACTGTCTTTGAATTTTCATGCGTATGTGAATTCCTCATGACCATATTTTAAAACTTTGGTTTTCTCCTGTTAATGTCTCTGTTCTTTTGATTAGCCCAGCCAGAACATACAAAGTGGGAGGAAAAGTAGTATCTTTATTTTTTATCCTCACCTGAGGACATTTTTTTCCATCTTTGTTCAGATAGAGTGGGAGGGAGGGAGGGGGAGGAAGAGAGAGAGAGAGAGAGAGAGAGAGAGAGAAACATGGATGTGAAAGGGACACATGGAGTGGCTGACTCCCACAGACCTCAACCAGGGATGCGGATTAACCGCAACTGAGGTCAAACCTGGGACTCATTGGTCCCTGGGCCCACGCTCTAACCACTGAGCGACCGGCCAGGGCGGTATCTTTTTTTTTAGCCCCCAAACTATTAGAGGTTCTGACACTGAAGATCTCAGTTCTGAAGCAGAAAGGAATTCCACCCTAAATGATTTATTGTTTTTTTGACGTGGTAAAGAACCATCCACTCAGCCTTGTAAAAATTGAGTCATTCAAAAAGCTCGCCTTTGTGATTGGCAGGGTGGGGCCAGGGAGCGCAGGGTGTCTAGGCAGAGGGGCTGGGTGGGCGCCAGGAGACTCACAGATCAATTCCCTGTCCTTCTCTCCGAGGGCACCAAGGGTGACAAATGCTCCCTTGGAATGCCGCGGGTTAAGTGAGGGCTTCACGTGCTAGGGCACCTACCTGGTGCTCCCACCAGAGTCACGACCACCGTTTCCTCTAAGTTACTCTGGAGCCTTTGGCCTCAGTTTCGCCCTCATCCGCCCACTCATCTCCAAATAATGTAGTCCGGGCCAGAAAAGTAGCCTCGCCTTGGGGGAGGAGGGATTGTTGAGAGGCGGTGGAAGATGACTGGGTGCCCAGGGCTCCACATGGGACTGCGGCTAGGCTGCCCAGAGGGAGCCACTCCCGCCCAGTAGCCAGCTCGCCTGCCGCCTGCCAGGGCAGAGCCTTCCCTTCAGCCGAGTCCAGTCTTTCCCAATCTGCCAGCTGTATAAGGCAAATAGAACTTGCAGCACTGCTAGTAACAACCTCAAATAGGCAGTGACCTGAGTGTCCTTTGGTAAGGAGCTAATAAAGAATGGTGGCATGTACCATGGTGCATACTGCGCAGTTACTGGGAAGAACCAAATTGATCCAGCTCTGCTTGCATGGGAAGGCCCTCCAAGAGAGTGTAAAAAAAAGCACACTGCAGAAAAATACTGCAAGGCCGCTTTGTAAATATCTATATGCACACACACATATATACACACATAGAATGTGCTGCAGAGAAAGACGTGGAAGGGCACCCCTAATAAGTGGGTTAGGTGACTGAAAAGTGAATCTCAGTTTAAAAAAATTATTTTATTGTAGGATATAATGCCCTTTTCTCAAGAGCCTATCCAGAATACCAATTGCATTTTGTTTTCATATCTCCTTTGACTTCTCTTGGCAGAGACAGAGTGTCTCAAACTTTCCTTGTTTTTGATGACTTTCATGATTTTAATTAAGGAGTACTGATTAGGTATTTTGTAGACTATTCCTCAACTGGGAAATGTCTCATGTTTTTCTCATGATTAGACTGGAATTATGTGTTTTTTGGGGAGGAAGACCACAATGGTGTATACTAATCTTTTTTTTTTTTTTTTGCACTAAAATAATCATTTTATTTTGTAATAAATTTCTATCATTTAATGAGGAAACATTATACACAGCTATTTTTAGAAGGCATCTATATTTATAAGATGGGTGTCTAAAATATAGAGAAAAATTAAATCTTGTTTTCTGATGTCTGATATACTAAACAAACTTAAATACTCTTATAAAGAGCAGCTTTATAGCCCTGGCCGGTTTGGCTCAGTGGTTAGAGCATGGACCTGTGGTCCAGAGAGACCCGGGTTCGGTTCCCGCTAAGGGCACCTAAGTCGGTTGCAGTTTGCCCCCAGCCCTGGTCAGTTGTGCGGGTGGCAGCCACTCGATGTGTCCCTTTCACATCAATGTTTCTCTCTCTCTGTCCTCTCTCTCCCTCCCACTTAACCTAAAAAAAAAGAGCAGCTTTATAATAATTACTAGAAACAATATTCTACCAAAGACACTTTATTTTTTTATTATAGATTTATTTTTCTTTACTGATTTTTTAGAGAGAGGAAGGGAGAAGGAGAGAGATAGAAACATCAATGAATGGACTGGCCGCCTCCTGTGTGCCCCCCACTAGGGATTTGACCCATAACCTGGGCATGTGCCCTGACAGGGAATCCAACGGGTATGGTCCACGGATCAACACTCAGGCGCTGAGCCACACTGGCCGGGCCTACCAAAGGCACTTTAGAACCAAATCTTAATCTTCAGGGAAGACAGTAACACTGGTTCTTGGATCATCTTCAAGTTCTTTATCATTTTCTGCAGTAACACTCGCCACGTGCTTTTTCTAGTTTTGTTTTGTTTTGACTTATGAGAATCTGAATTATTTTCCTCGTTGATTTTCTCTTTGGGATGTGAGTTAGTAATAGCTTCTCTTTCCAATGCATGTTGTAGGCAGTTGTAAAACCTTTCAATTTTCCTGTTTTCCTTCATTTTTTGATTTGCTCTCATTAATAGGAAGTAGATATATTCCTCTGTCATCATCGGTTTTCCCTTACGCTCAGCGGACAGCCAACGTTGTCTTTCCTCCTCCTCACTGTTATGCCTGAGTTCCTGAAACCAGAATCCACAGCCACGGAATGCACAATCTGTGCATCCTGCAACTGTAGATACTGCACACGAAGAACACGGGGTTCAAATGTCAAAATGGCATCACCACTGGCTTTTTCCAGGGCTCCAATCACATCATCTTTTACACTAAGTTTGGAACTAGGAGCCGGCAACAGTTTTGTCCCTGAGCCTCAAGGCCGTGTACTCTCCCACCTAGGAGGAGAATGCAGCCAGCAGAACTGGTGGTGCAGCACTGTGCTCGCCCAGGAGCTGCACAAGCTCAGCTCCTCGTCCACAGCGCCCTTCCGCTGAGGCCGCCCGGCGCAGGCTGGGCGCCTCCCCTCGGGGCTCTGCGGCGCGATCCACGCGAGGAGGGAGCAGGGTCTGTACTCACGTGGGCTCTCGCCTTCCCCTGGGGGCAGCCGTACTGGAGCCTGTTCACTCTGGGGTTGACCTGCATCACCTGGCTGAGGCAGTGTCTCAGATTTCTCCCCTGTAAATCCGCCCCCCCGTCCCGTCTCCGCACTACTGGATGGCCTCGTTAACGGGGAGTTTCTGTACCTTACGGAGTCACTAACCACGCACACTGCCCTGGAGGGTGTTTGGGGAATCCCCTCCCGTGAGCGCGGCGCAGGGAGGGAACCGTCTCCGGCCTTGGACCTCGGCGCACCGGCGGAGCCCTCCTCCGGGCCCCTGGGAGCCGGAGGGCCACGGCTTCCTCCGCAGGCTCCAGGAGGCGGCGCGGGGCGGCTGCCCCAAGATGGCCCACACCTGGGGGCGGGGCTCGCGGTGACCACGCCCCAGGGCACCGGGCTCCGCCCCGCGGCGCGAACCAGCAGCGCCCTTGGAGTTTTCCGCCTCGCTGGCTCCTCCTCCCGCCCCGCCCTGACGGCTGCCGGCCCGCAGGTCTCCGGGACCCCGAGAGCCGAGCGGGAAGAGCTCCACACCGACCCTCGCGGAGAGAGCCGCTGCTGCCCGCGTCCCCCTTCGCCCCTCGCGGCTCCTCTCCGCCGTGGCCAGTGGCCAGGTGAGTGGGGGCCCCGACCGGCCCCGCCGCTTCCCGGTTGCACAGCGTGGGGTGGGGGCGGTGTCCGGCCGGTCCCGGACGGACCGCATCGGCTTGTGTCTGCTCGAACAGCTGCGGGGACTGCTCTCCCTGGGGCCCCCCAGGGCCAGGGCCACGTGACGGCGCTGCGGGGGTCAGGGGTCAAACGGGCCTGGGCCGACTTGGGATCGGGTGACCCTGCGACCTGAAGACAACGGGCCGGTGTGGGCGATGGCCGGTGGCCCGTCCCCTCCGACCCCGCTGAGTCTCGAGGGTGTGTGCCCTTCCGGAATGGCTTGGCCCGGGGAGAGCTGGTAGGGGAGGCTGCCTTCAGGAACTTTCTCCCGGAACTGGGAGGGCGCCGATTCCTGGGAGCTGTGTTCACCCGTGCCGACCTCCTCTGCCTTTCACCTTCAGCCGGCCCCCGCTTCAGGGAGGGACTCGTGGACCTCGCCCCCCCCGGGGGGCCTCAACTCAGCCCCGGAGGGCTTAGCAGGGGGGCTGGAAGGAGAGGCGTGGAGTTCCCCACCTGGAGACCCGGGGGGCAGACGTTGAGCCAGTCGGTACTGGCCCGGCCAGCAAGCAGTCCGCTGGGACACTGTGCCCCGGGCCCTCTTCGGTGCGGCGTGTGGAGATGGGTGTTTTGGGACAGACCCTGGGGGCCGAGGTAGCCAGCCCTTGCTGCTCCAGGCCCCTCGCCGCCTCGGCCTGGGCACGGAGTGCGCCCCGAGGGCAAGCCTCTGCCCCGTCCCCACACAGGAACAAAAGCTCCTAGGGCAGGGCCAGGCTGAGCCCGGGACCTGGAGGGGCAGGGCCTGTGGCCTTTCTCACCCCTAACTGGCCCTCAGTAAGTTCCTCCATTCCTCCCTGGTGTCGCTCAGTTGTTGGGAATTCCAGGAGGATTACCCTGCCCTTCCATGACGGCACTTCCGTGCTGTGAGGTGTCCTCTGATGAGAGGGGCTAGGTGGGTGCCAGGGTCCTCCCCTCGGCCTCCGGCATCCCTCCCCAATCTTGTCTTTTACTAGTCTCCATGCCTTGGTTTCCTCATCTTTGAAAGGGGGGTGATAACAATACCTACCTCACAGGGTGATTGTGAGAATTAAATGAATTCATATATTTGGCAACCATACAGCTCAGGCACTGACCTGAATAGGTGGTGACTTTATACCATACCTGTGCGTCTCAGGTGGATGTCACCCAGATCAGACGTAAAGCTCATAGTAGGGTCTGGTGCATAAGTAATCATCTGTGTCAATGGTAATAACATAGTAATAGCTATCACTTCCTTCTTGCAGCTAAACAGCCAGCTGAGTTGAACTGCTCTTCTGACCTGTCCCTCTGTCTTAGCTCATGCTGTTATGCTCTCCTGGAATGCCCTCCTTCACCCATTTCTGCCTTTTATTCACCACCCTCCTGGGAGCCATCCAGGTGCCTACTCCCAACAGGAAGGGACGAGATAATGCTGTGAGTCCACAAAGTTCTCCACTCCTTTGGCACTGAGTCACGTCTCAGTACTGGCCACGTGTCTACCTCTTCGCTGTCCTTTGTCTGGAGGGCGGAGGCTGTTTCTTACTTATCACTGAGTCTCACAGCAGCAGATGGGCCTTTCCTCATGTGGGTGCTCAGTAGATGTTAGTTGACCTAGATAGTCATGCCAGGGAAGTAAGGTTTCCCTGTTGTTAAATGTTAGACCTTGAGATAGAAATGAGTCCAGACAGTGGTGGGAATAGGAGCTGGCTGAGAGGCCAACTAGGAAGCCCTTTGACTGCTTTATGTAGCCAGGGCAAGGGTGACAGACAGGGCCCTTCCTGTATTGCTGGTCCTAGAAGGCCAAAATTGATTAGTGATGCCTCAGTCATGCGATTTGGAGAAGGATGGGTAGTTTGGGATGAAGGAGGGAAAACAGCCAGAACAGGTTAGTGTGCGTTCTTTTTGAGAATTCATTGCAGAATAGAGGGAGAGAGAAGAAAAATAAGCCGATGTGGGCAGGAGATGAATGTAGAAACACTCTGTGCTGCATGGATGTTCAGAGGCCCTTGGGCCTTTCTGGAGCTCTCCCTCCTTCCTCTCTCTTGTCACCTGTCATCTTCTCCCTGTAAGCCTGAAGCAGTTCCTGGCACTTGGTTCCAAGGAACACTTAGGGGAGAGTCTGTATGTGGGTGTACTTCAGAGTCATAGCCAAGCAAAAGGATCTTGGTTTCTCTGGATTTTTCTTTACAATACCCTCTGATCTCATTTTCCTGGAACATCAGGAATTTGAGTGATACCTAGATAGGAAATCTCATAGGGGAAAGGAAGAAACTGAAGTTTCCTTGGTTGGAATTTGCATTTTTAAAAGGAGTTGCTGAAATTCAGTGGCGTATCTAATAACCACTGAAGCCATACATTTAGTCTGCTGACCCTAACCCTGAAATAAAGGTTGGATGCACATGGTGGGGGGCATCCTAACACTACAGTCTAAACAGTGACTCGAACCACAACTGACCATGCTACACTGATGTGAGAATTTAACAGGTGAGGGCAACCAATGAGTCAGGACTGAGCTCGTTTATGCTAGGTGACCTGGGACAAGCCATGTAACCACACAGGTTCCTAGTGTTCTGGATGGTAAAATGCCTATCTCAAATGGTTGTTTGCAGAATCCAGTGAGAAGATGTTTGCAAAAGGGGTTTGAGATCACTTAGGGGTGGTGATGACAGTGATATCTTGGGTGTGTTACTTCAAGGAACCTTGAAGCTAGGAGTGGTGTGTGCAGTTGGTTGATGCCTGGCTCTGTGATCACTTAGTGTCTAGTCTAACAGGGGCTTGCACTGCTGAAGTTTCCACTGCCTTAGCAGAACAGAAGGGAAGAATCACTCTTGAAATTGAGAGGGAAGTCAGATGTCCCTAGCCTTACACCTGGAGTGTGAGGAGAAGCTGGCTTGGAGCACAGTGAGATGAGAGCAGGTAGAGTGAGGGGAGAGAAATTGAGAGGCTGTTACCAGGGAGGTGGAGGGAGTACAGTATATGGGAGATAAACCCCGGGAATGGCATCTTTGTGAAAAAGGGTGTGTATGGGGGTTGGAGGCTGGTGAAAGCAGATGTGAGGTTGTTGTGTCCACCTAAAAGGTCATAGCTATTTTTAGGAAGTGGGTGACAAGGCATGTTTCAGTTGAATTCTGTATTAGTGTGTACCCACTGTTTGCCTAGTCCCATGCTGTGTACATAAAAGCAGAGGCCAACCCCACCCAGCCTGGGTTGTGCCCTGAATTTCCCTGAGATAGGAACTCTGTCTGGAGAATGGGGAAGATCATGAATTCAGTTTGGATATGTTATGTTAGAGGTGCCTTTGAGATACCAAGTAGGCAGATGGGCCTGGGGCTCAGGAGGAGTCTTGGGCTAGAGGGACATTTTTGCCTAAGTTGTAACTGATGTCAAAGGCATGGTGAGATTGAGGAACTGACCTCTAACAGCTGAGTAAAGGAAGATGAGCCTGTAAAGGAGCCAGAAAAAGAGCAGTTCAAGAGGGGGAAGGAAAACCTGGATAGTGGCCCACATAGAAGCCAGGTGAGTCCGCTCCAGCAGTGGCCATCGCTGCTGTGGGAAGTGATGTGGAGGAGATTCATCACCTTAGCTGCTGCTGTTTGAATGAATAGGTGGGGGAGTAGCAGGAGGTGATGATCTGGAGGTACTAACAGTAGACAAGCTTTGAAGATGTGGGCTTTAAAGGGGAGGAGAAAGATTGAGTGATGCTGGAGGAAGACGGTCTTGAGGGGTGTTTGTTTCCTCCACCCATTCTCTTCCCATTTCACCTGAGAAGTTAGTGTGGATGGCCCTCTCTGCCTCTCTTCATGACACATAGAGACAGAGACAGACAGGCACCTGTAAAACTTTGTGTTTCACTGAATGGATTCATGGTGTATGCTGCAATACATAGCTTGTGCTTTTGATTGATTTATCCTGGATAGTAACCCTGGGTTGCTGTTCTTCCACATCAGTAGCAGGTCTATATATAATGTTCAGATGTATCATAATTTATTCAACTTTTCCCTTATTGATGGGTATTGAGACCATTGACTATTTTTGAAACCTGGAACAGTGCTGGAGTAAACAAGCTATAGGATCCTAATTGAATGTATTTAGTATTTATGAGGAAGAGTTGACATTTTTTTAAATGTTTTTTTTATTGATTTTTTTTTTTTTCTAGAGAGGAAGGGAGAAGGAAATAGAAACATTGACGAGAGAGAGAGAGAGAGAGAGAGAAGCATCAACATCTTTTGGCTGCCTCCTGTACATCTCCTACTAGGAATCAAGCCCAAAACCCCTGGATGTGCCGGGACTGGGAATCAAACCAACAACTTGGTGCATAGGTCCACGCTCAACCACTGAGCCATGCCAGCCGGGCAGAGTTGACATTTTTATGATGTTAAGTTTTCCAAATCAGGGACAGATTACAGACCTTGCAATGCATCTTTACTAGATACTGTGAGTGAGATTCTAAGTGGGTATGTTAGAATTTAAATACAGAGAGAGAGAGAGAGAGAGAGAGAGAGAATTTTTTGTATCATTTCTATTTTTTTGTGTGTTTGTTGATGATTAATTTCAACCTTTATCTTTATTCATTCCTTCTTACTTTTGGTATATTTTGTTGCTCTATTTTTAATATATAAATTGGTTCATTTATTTTTAGTTTTTTAATTTGAACAGTTTATATAACTTAAAACACAACACAGAAAAGAGCATAAGACTTGGGGACCCTATTTAAAGGGACTGGAATGGCTAAACCTTGCTGTACCATGAAATCCTAGTGAGTAGTTTTCTAACTTCTATTTTTCCAGATAAAGGTAATTAGCTGGAAAAACCCTCAGCCTGCCTGAGGCAGGATTATTAAAAAGTCCTCAACATATTTTTAATGTTAATATTTTTCACTTCTAGTTTCTAATCTGTTTAATATGTTTTTGCCCAACGCTTAAATTTTTTTCATATTCAAATTACATTTAAA